CAACTGTCAGGTAATAAAATGGTAGAGCGTTTCCCTGTTTAAACTCATATCGTTATGACCGTATGTCTGCAAGGCTGAACATTCTCCTCCTTCATTACATTCTGCTTTTCCATATTTCCCTTTCGAAAAAACAGCGGGTTAAGCTGTAGACAAGTTGTTTGTACTTTTCTTAATTTATTTTTCCACCATTTTTTTCCGTTTCCATTAGAGCAATATTAAAGGAGATGTGTTCTTATGAAAAACGATGGCAATATGAAATTGGGTATGCTGCAATAAAATAAAAAAATGTCGGCTGAGAATAAATTGACTAGCTGTAAGTAATCATGGCAAAGAAATTTAATATAAATTAATTCCTTTCAAATTATTTCTTTAAAGATGATAGATTATTCTGGTTTTAAAATAATGATAGCCAAAAAGAAGAATACTAATGCTTAATTTCAATTTAATCTATAAGCACTTAGATCTTGCTGAAAAGTATTTAAAAAAAATATAATAGCATCCATTTTCTGTATTAACAATATTTAAAATATAACGTGCTTTCATATTTTCATCCTTAAAGACTCCTAAAAAGACCCACTCTCCGACATTTCCAAACAAGTTTTGGGTGCTTTTGCATTAATTCAAAGACAACACAGTAAAAATCTCGTTTTCAGTACAATTTTCACATTGCAACAAATTAATTTCCTTTGAGATTTGACTTCTGCGCAACTTTATCGAGTGTCCTGCGAGTTGGCGTCCTTGCTGCAGTAACGTTTATGTATATTGTTCCCCGCACTGCCCTCAACACTGCTGCCCGAAAACCAAAAAGGTCGCAAAAGTATGAAATGTCATTTTACAGTTAAAATGTCCAGAAAATTATCAACTTTAACATTTCATTGCTTTTCTGGCCCGTCCTGCTGTGAGAGATAGGAAATATAGTTGCCCAGTTTACTTACTTGGTTGGGTTTTTGCTGCCACAGACAGCAACTTATAATGAAGTCCTCGAGGACGAGGCACTCGGAGAATCTCTCTCAGTTATTTTAATGTAATTATCTTACCAATTGCGAGTGTGAGAGTGTCTGTGGCTCAACAGAAAGTAATGAAAAATTTTTGAATATGTTTCTGGTGGTAAAAATCCTGATAACAAGCTGTAAAAAACTTTTAATTAGCCATACAAGTTGATAACGTGCATACGCAACGTTGAACCAATGAGCATCGCATGTGAGCTCATTGGGACCGGTATACTTCAAAACATTTACAAATGAGCATTTATGATTTGATATTTAAAAAAATGCAAAAGAAATGTTATAGTTATTAAATATGTAACACAAAATTTATTTATAATTTATGTTTTCTAAAATAAAACGACTACTGCCACTAATGCATTTTTTTCTTCTTATGACCTCATTATAATTTTATCAAGCGTTCTTACATTCATAAAATCTAAAGAATGCCTGGAAAAAGATTTCCCAATTTTATATTACGATACGTACATGGTAAAAGGGTATAAAGGTATTTTACCAGTACAAATATCAGACAATTGCCCTTAATTATATGCATTAAAAAATGTACATGTGTTTATGCCGGCAGTAGCCAAGAGGAATGTTTGTGCACATCCTTCCAACCATATCCATAGTATAAAGACAATCTGAGCGGCTCTTCCTGTTCCTGTTGGCGCAGTTTTGCTTCCAAGTTGGACTCCCGTAAATACGCTACGTGTGCCAAGCGAACATACAAACCAAAGTTGCTCTTGCCTCCGGTATTTCACCGACATAATCACATATATAAACATTATTTTTGTTCTTCATGTGTGTTTGTTTGCGTTTTGTAAGCCTGTTTTTGATTTTTGTAACTTTGTTCTTGGTTATAGTGTGTAATTATCAAAAACTTTTTCGCCCCAAGCATTTAGCCTTTTAGAAAAATATAACAAATCTGGTTTCTAATTAAACTATTATGTGTAGTTTAATATGACTAAAGTAATTACAAACATGTAATTATTATGTTTTAAATCAAGCCCATTTTTGTTTACCATGCTTAACGGACTAAACTTTTAAAAGCTTTAAATGTTAATTTGCAGCAAGAGAGCTTTTTATTTTTCAGATTCGAATAAAACTGAAAATAAAATACTCTTCTAGAGCACCCCAATTACTAATAAACAAGTATATTTATTTTTATATTTTTATATACAGCTTAGAAAAATATAAGACTTATACAATTTGGACTGTTATGCATATTTGAAATATTGTATTGCACAAACAAACCGATAAAGGAGTTCGAAAAAGAAACATTTCTTATCGAAATTTTAAAAAGATCCTAAAATTGCCAGTTAGTCGATTGAAGAAATACCAAAATATTCACCAACTAGCAAGTGAGGCCGATGAGATCTCACCAAACTGACAGTTCTCGGCTGATCGTTGGCGTGACTTGGTTTGGTTCGGTTCGTCGCGCCAGCGAACGTGTGTGTTCAGATTTATTTTTAAGCTGCACGCAGAAAATACTTTTCTGTACGGGTGAAGAAAATTTATAATTTTCAGTAGTTTTCTCCCGTTTTTGCTCGGTTATTCGTCTTCAAAATTAATCTGTTTAAGTGAAATTCTCGTTTTGCAAACAGTTAATAGTGAAAAAGACTGAAAAGTGAAAAAATATATGGAAAATATATGTATAATGTGCGAGATAAATCTATATTATACATTGAGCTGGCACACTTTGGGCAGCTATATATGAAAATATATCAGAATTGAGTGCATAAAATAATTTAAAACGTGTTGTATTCAATACAATAAAGTAAAAGTAGTTACCATTCATTATTTTAAGGTAGAAAATCGGTGGGGAATAGACGATTTCTCAGCCAAATGAAAAATATGTACTAAGCAAATGAGAAAATATCTCCCAAAAAGTTTAAAAATATCAACGCCACGTATGCTGCCTTTGGCTTCTTGGCTCGGATATTCGGAACGCACGACTGCCCCTCAACAAATAAAAATCGCAGCGTGTTTTTATTGTTGCCACGCGAGGGAATCGCTAAGGGATCAGCATGTAAGTGAAATGTTCAACAAGCAGCCCCGCAATTAACTAGATCAAGTATATGGTATATATGGTATGCATCGTCTTAGCCATTTAAAAATAGCCTTTTTAAAGTGTTCCATGTTGTTCAGACCGTAGCGTTGCATATTTCAATAAGCAATTTAATTTGATTTAAGTAAAAGGCAATACAATTAGGCTAAATTTAATTTCATTGCCTGCCGCGATCGCGTTTGTTGTTTCTCTTTTAAATTGGGGGCTACAACAGAGCACTAACAGCATTGCCGCATCGACAGATCCAACTACGTGTGCTTGATCTAATTTTAGACCGGCGAAATCGTCTTCTGGCCCAAAGAAAATGACCGACGAAATGCCGATCCTACACTATACCCAACCCGCCCCCAACCTCTTCACCCTCTGACGTTTTTCTGTTGTTTTAACAAATATTTTCCCGCACAATTCTCATTGGACACGATGAAAACTAATTTCTGGTTGGTGCGGCATATTTCAGTTTTATAGACAAAAATAATTTAAGCAGTTGTATAGACAAGGAACATTGAAAAACTCTGTGATATTGGCCTTCACTAATATATTTGTGGTAAATATTTTATCGCAAAGTGAATGGAAATCAATTTGGGCAGCATCGATCTAATTGTTATAAAAAAGCAACTAAAGTATCTCAGGTCATTTAATGGGTTTCAATTGTTTATAAAACCGAAAAAAAATAATCAGACAGAAACTCATGAAAATCGCGGACAAAAATAAACAAATCATAAAATGGTGATCAAAGATTATGGGTGTTTTTAGATATACATATTTTAGAGGCCATAAAAAAACAAAGGTGTCCAGTACAAATTGGTTAGGTGACATTTCTTAAAATCAAACGACAATTTGTGAACATTTATTTCCATAGCAAGCTCTAAGATACCAACAAATCACCATGCCACGTTCAGCCGGAAATATATCATTTGCCAAATTGTATACCTCATCGAAAAACACACCCATGGGAAAACCGAATTTATATTATAAGTTATGATATATGGCCGAGCGTCAGAAAGTATTGTGCGGTGACTCAGGCAACCCGCTGTGTAAGTGAAGTTCAGTCGTGGAAGAAATGGCATCGCGGGGAAACTGGGCATTTTCATTATTTGACATTCGCTCTTTCAAATCTCTCAAGATTTTCCCGGTCTCTCGCCAGCTGTCAAAGATTTTCCACTGCGCATGTGTTCAACAACATCAGCTGTTTGACAACAAATGTGAGTGCAAGCGGGACATAGATACTCAATATCGGAAAACTTTCCCGATCTATTCATAAAAGTTGTTTTAGCTACTGATAAAAATATCTATAGCATGGGTGAGAACAAACAGAGAACAAACAGAGAACAAATAAAACACAAATAGGCGAAGCATAAATGTTTGGTTCCCGCTTTCATTCGTTGGCACATTTACGTACGATTTTGATTTGTTTGTAAACAAATTTTTAGGGTTGAACAATAACTCTGGGATTTCCCTATTTACGGGCGATTTATTAAATGTTTAAATAAAGAGTAAAGATGAATGGTAATGCTATTACAATTACATCTTACATTTAAAATACATATCTGTGAATGTATTTATAAGTTCGTTGCAGTTTTGTTTTATTTAATAAAGTTATAATAAGTCATCAAGAACACAATAAACTTTAAATTTTAAAATGTTATTAAACACATAAAGTAAATAAATTCCAAAATATACTACAGCAATGTTCCAATCAGTTTTTGATATAAAAGTCAACCAAACTAATATTTGAACATAAATAAGTTTCTCAAATTTTTAACAAATGCGTTTTTAAATGAAAACTGTTTTTGAACTTTTGTAATAATTGATTACACCAACGCCGGCCTTTCCCAATTTCACAACCTTTCACCAATCGATAAGCAAGCTCCGAATCCTAAGCTTTTCTTGGGCTAACGTCAACATTTTCACGGTTGCCTCTGCGAAAAGCTGAATTTTCCTGCACAGTGTGCTTTTGTGGCTGATTCCTTAAACTCGTTCGCGTTGCTAATGGTCGCGTGTGAAAAATACAATAAAATACAACACTGAAAGGCCAGGAAAATCTATCAAATTAAGGCCAAAACACGGAAATTGTAAAGTGCAATGTTGAAACTTCGAAAGGGGGTACTAATAAGAGATTAGAGGGAAATAATGGGAGGCTGCTTTCACTTTCTTCGCAGTGAGCATTGAAATTTTTCACATGCTCACATGTGTTGGTGCTGGGTGACGTTGTGTGTGTGTGTTGGTGGTCTATTACATATGCGTGGGTAGGTCAATCGGTCAGCTTGAACCTGTAAGCAGCTAAAAACTTTAGTATAACCGTGTAATACTTAATATAATTAACAAGCCAACCAGGCACAAAAGTATCCATACACCATTTCCCAGGCGGGCCATCAACGACCATGAGCAAATTAGTTTTTACTGCCAAAAGCGCGCTCTTGACCCCATTTTCGTGTATAGGGTTTTGTGATACTTCCCTGAATTCCACAAGCCAGCTATTACCCGCATTAATATGCAACTACTTTTTTTTGACAATTCTATGAAGCCTTCCTGCCCAAACCAACTTTGGTAACAAATAGAAATAAATAAGTAAATTTAATGATTTTTTTGGGTAATTTAATGAAAGTTGTATTTTGTTTGCTGCAAAGGCCAAAAGCTCCAGTGCAGAAGGAGCTTGCCAGTGAGTGAGATAAAGTCGCTTTCTCTCAGCCAAAGTTGATTGCCCATTTGACAGTTGGGTCAGAAAAAAGTCGTTGCGACAACAAAGGGAAAATGTAAACATTGCGCGTGTTTTTGTTTTGATGCTCTTTCCCTCTCACACACAAGCACAAAAGTGGGCTATACTATATATAGGTAAAGCCAGGAAATGCCGATACGTTATCATCTCCAAATGAAAATTCGTTGACTGTGCACTCAAATGGAATTAAGCAAAATCCAATAAAGTGCTCTGATAGCAGGAGTTAACCGAAAATTTGTTCTAAATACTAATTGCACCATCGTGGGGGGTGGTATAGAAATTTCTAGAAATTATTAAAGGAGGGGGTTTTAAAAATAGTTGGAGAAAAATATGTATGTTAAGCTATTTTCAGTGGTTTTACGGCTTTTTGGGGTAACTAGAAGTAATTGTTTTAGAGAACACTTTTAGATGGTCCTTCTATAAAACCCCAAATTATTTAGATCTACAATCCTCGAACAACTCCTACTGCAGACTAACAATAATTGCCAAATTTTTACAAACCGCCGCTTTAAACTCGTCCAAATAAATAACCATTAAAATACAACCAAATTAAAAGTCACCACCGTCGAATTTCTACAAATAAAAGCCATTTTCTAAACAAAATAAAAAGCTTTCCCCGTATTTAAGTGAGTCTGAATAAAGTGTGCATGTCTGTGCGGCGACTGAGACCAAACACACCTGTTGCCGCGATGCTTTGACCGCATTTCCCCGGTTGGCATTTGGCAAGCACAATTTTCCGAGGAAAGCGCCCTGTAAAACATCATTTTAAACGACTGTGCAAATCAATATTGTGCGTCCGAATGAAACTTCAAATATGAATACAGGTACAAGGACTTTGAATCGATTTTCCTCTTATCTTACAAGATTTTCAAGGAGCTCAAGCAATTTCGTGTATATATATATATCTACTTTTGTTAACGTTTCATTGATTTTTAATTCGAAAAAGGGAGCTAGCATAATTGTGCATTGAATATCTAATCTATATTCCGTATTTTGATTTAGAACTGTTTTTTATACTTTCTATTTTTATTACATTTTTAAAATAATATGCTGTGAACTTGATAAGTAATTTGATTAGTAAAATCGTTTTCAAAAGAAGAAATATAACTACAAGTTTCGGAATTTGTGTTGGTTGATTATGCCAATCACAACTTATGAACATACCCCAACACTTCACATTTAGATTGTTAAATTTACTAACCTCTTATTAACACCCCACTAACAATCCGCAAAGGAGACCGTAAGGAGCAAGCCTCGTTAACACCGCAACAGCAACAATCGCCGCAGCAGCCAGAGCCACAGCAACCAATTACCCGACACGATGCCTTGGATAGTTCTAGTGCTAACAATAAACTGAACCATAAACACAATAACGATAAGGATAAGGATAAGGATACCACAGCTAGCGATAAGAATTGGGAGGCGGGCAGAGATTTATTGCCGGCCAGTGTTGTCATCGTCGATGAATCATGCCCCTCGAAAAGCCAGTTAGAGTCGAGTGTGGTCCCGCGAAGTGGTGCCACCTCCTCATCGCAACGCCGCCGGCAATTGCAATTCCAGAGACAAAAGGAGGCCAAACTTTATGACCGCGGAGACGGGGAGCCATCGACCTCGACCTCTGCCTCTGCTTCAGCCTCTGCTTCAGCCTCAGCATCTGCCTCAACCTCCAACTCGACCACAACTACTGTGATGGGTGGCGGGGAGCTGGTGAACTGTATTGCCTACGATGACAACACCCTGGTCATCGAGAGGAAGCCCTCGCCCACCTCCCCGTCCACCTCCCGGCGTTATCTGAAGGCCGAAACTCCGACGCGTGGCAGTCGAAAGTATAATCGCAAGTCATCATCATCGGCTTCGGCTTCGGCATCGGTCAAAAGTGATTTGGAAGTGGTCGTTGTCAAACCGGAACACCATCGATCGCCAACGATAACACTGCCGGTGCCGGCAAATCCACTGACCACTTCCGCATCGGCGGGCACTTCGCCCACGGGAGCGGGATTGGGATCAGGATTGGGAACTGCCACGGGAACGGTCCTGCAACAAAGGTACATACAACTCCAGCTGGAGCACGAAAAGAAATACATTTTCCATGCAATGCAAGAGTTTGATTACATGGAACAAACTCAAACTAGGCGTTCTAGGGCATAGTAAGTCGGAACCAGACCCCAAAATTAACTATCGTACTCCTATCGTGACTCAATGTTGTCCCTTGTATATCGTCGTCTTATTGTGTGTCTCGTTTGTCTCAAATCGCATGCCCAGTAATTAGTGTGCCCAAGTTGGTGGTTCAACAAGTTTTTAAAATCTATTTAAACGGTTTAAAAATGGGGTTCACTTAAAGCTTTTACTATACACAAGTAAACAAGTAACTTAGGTTTTTAAGGAGCTATTAATGATCCTTTTTTTTATATCTGGGTATATATTTGTTCAATGATATATTTTTACGTTCAAGAGTTTTGTCTCTAAATTTTAATGACTTGCTTACCTAAATCTTGCCAGCCACCTAGCAGTTTATTTATGGTGACTATAAACTATTCTGCCAAGTTTAGTCATAATCATTTAAACATATCTGCCATAAATCTGTCCATACAAAAGTTAGTTTGTTTATTCAGTACGAAACTTTTGTAGTTTTTCATCACTTTACACAATATAACACAAAACATCTGTCTGACGAACGATTAGACTTCTGTATTTGCAATCTCATTCAAATTTTAAATGTCTGTTTTCACCAGGAAACACAAAAACACAAATGTAATATAAAGCTGCGAAAGTACAGGTAAATTTAAGCAAGAATATTTGATTGCCTCCTAAGAATAGTGTTTTTAGGCTATGTTTTAAAACGGATAAGTTAGTAAGCAGATGGCATCTCTATATCGGAATATAATCCTTAATTCTTATTATTCAAATTTGTTGAGCTAACTCAAAATACTGTAAGCAAAAGTATACAAGTTCTCAAGACATAAAGTTTATCTTAAGTTCTCGACTTACAAAATATAAAGACAATATATTACCACCTAATAAAACTGTTTTCCATGCAATTAAACCTAAAAGACTCGGCCTTCTAATGCCTATAACCCAAACCAAGCAATGGCCATTGACTTTTTAAGTGGTTCTCATTTAAAACACCTCTTACAAATAACCCTTAATATTTCTATAAACTCTGACAACGGAACACTTTAAATTAAAGGCAATTATAATTTAAGAGCAACATTAAGGTATATTAATAGCCTGATTCAATTGGTGCATTAAAACGCATTTAGCCCAATGCGCATTTATTTACATTTATTTACATTTAAAATAAATGCGATAAATAAATGCGACTAAAAATCATTCGCCCCGAACAATTTTAGTAAAAATACCGGAAAATACTGATTTATATGCGAAAATTCAAAAGTAAACAAACCCAGATCAGCTGTTCGTGCCATTCACATGTCGGAGTAACATAAGCTAAATGCTTATGCGCCAATTGAATCAGGCACATTTAAAAAGTGCACTTAAGCGGCAATGGAATATAATAAATATATATATAAGTTAATTGGGATTCAGTATTGTACACTGTGTGGCCACATCCCCATCCTGTAGAATGAATGGTTGATGGCAAGTGCTGATGACGATACAAATTACAAAGTTCTAAAGTGGTATTTTCTTCTCCCCCCACCTTAGTTGCAGTGCCCTTGAGCCGTTGGAGGATCCAAATCAGGCCAGTGGAACCAGTGGCACCAGTGGAACCAGGAGACGACCCACCAGCACCGAACTCGCGCTCAGCAACGTCACCAGTCAGATTGTGAACAACACCACCTACAAGTTAGACTTTAAGCAGCGGCGTCACAAAAGCAACAACGGTGGTGCTGAATCGTCGGCTGGATTGGGATCCTTGACAGGATTAGCCACAGGATCGGCGACAAGTCCTGGAGCGGCAGCGGCAAGCGGCTCTTCGAGCAGCAGTAAACGTCGCAAGTCGAGTTGCACATCCTGCGGTGGAGGTGGTATCAGTGCCCCGCCCCCACGTTTAACGCCCGACGAGGCGTGGCAACTGCAGCCGCAGAATAGTGTAACCAGTGCTGGGAGCACGAATAGTAGTTTAAGCAGCGGTGGCGGACGCGACGACGATAGTAGTTATAGCGCTGTCGGCGGCGACAGCAGCAGCAGCAATAGTTGCAACTGCGATATTACCGGTGATAATAGTACATTGCATGGCTTTGGCGTCGGTGACGTGAGTAGTTTCATCGGTGACTGTGACGACGATAACGAGGACGACGAGGACAACGATCTCGACAATCCAGATCTCAGTTCGCAAACCCTTCGCACAGCCGCCATTGTAGCGGCCGTTGCTGCGGCGGCAAAGGAACAGGCCCAGGAGCAATCGCTAGCCGACTGCGAGAGCTTCAGCGATCGGCGCCAGGATGCCGATGACGGTGTCCGAATTATCCAGGACAGCGGCGGCACCAACAACAACAACGACTCACTCGAGGACGTCGGCGAGGTGGACGACAACGCCGACGTTGTGGTGAGAAAGAACTCGCGGAATCGCCCCTCCATCAGTCGGACATGCAGGATCACCGAGGAGGACGACGACGACGAGGACATCGCTATCGGTGATCAGGAGGATCAGGAGCTAGACGACGAGGAGCCCGAGGGCACCACCATAGACATTGATGAGCAGGAGCAGCAGCAGCAGCAGGACCAAGACGAATCCGCTGAGGACGAGGACGTGGACGAGGACGAAGAAGACGACGACGAGGACGTCGACGAGTATTTCGAGGAGGAGGAGGACGACACCCAGGCCTTTTCGCCATTCTACTCCAGCTCAGCAGAGCTAATAGACAATTTCGGTGGCGGTGCCGGTAAGTTCTTCAACATCATGGACTTTGAGCGCGGAGCCTCCGGCGGTGGCGGCTTTTCCCCGAACGGCAATGGCGGTCCTGGGAGCGGCGACAACTCCGGAGCGGCCAGATACGATTCCGGGGAGGGGGATCTGGGCGGCGGCAACAACATCATGGGTGAGTATCAAGCCTCCATCATCATGGGAAAAAATGTAATTTAACTGTACGGGAACAGCCTTGACATTAAAAAAAAATATAAAGTTTTGTTAAGGTGTTCAAAACCCTATTTTTTATTAGAAATATATAGAACAAATTTCAAGACAACCTTTTTTTTCAATGTGAGTTTGGATGGATTTGACCCTGATTTGAAATCATTTGTTTCTACTTACTAATACATTTCCTTTCATCCGCTTCAAGGCATCGATTCTATGGGCATTGCAAACATTCCGGAAACAATGAACGGCACCACAATTGGACCAAGTGGAGTTGGTGGCCAGAAAGCTGGCGCTGCTGCAAGTGCAGCCGGCCAAAAGAGGCAGCAGCGGAGGGGCAAGCCGCAGCCAGATCGACCGCAAAGAGCCCTATTTTGCCTCAGCGTCAAGAATCCATTGCGAGCACTCTGCATTCGCATTGTGGAGTGGAAGTATCCTTTTCCTAACTAATCATATCATATTAAATCAATTGCTTAAATTTTAAAACAGATTTTAATTTATTAGATATGAAAAACTGGTTATAGAGTATAGGAAGTCCTTGATTAAAAAAAAATTTAAGCCTTAGGTTAAGGTCTGATGCTATTTGAAAAACTATTTTTCTAAAAATTAACAAAATCTCGACATGGCTTTCCTTAACGCCTTCTTCTTTCTAGACCATTTGAGTTCCTTATTTTGTTAACCATATTTGCCAATTGTATTGCCTTGGCTGTTTACACGCCTTATCCGGGCAGCGATTCGAACGTAACGAATCAAACTTTGGTAAGTCCTGCCCAATTCGTGGGTATACTTAAATATAAACGAATTTTATTGTGGCTTACTAATGAATATGAATTTCTTTCATGTATCTCTTACGTTCACCACTCATCCGCATCCGAATCACACATCCAATACACTCATAATTGCACCAACGATACGCTCCTTGAAACCAAATCCGAATCCCTGATCCGTACAAAAAAAAAAAAACACAACAATGCACTCCAAAACCAATACAAAAAAACAAAAACCAACACCGAAACACAGGAAAAAGTTGAATATATATTCCTAGTAATATTCACAGCGGAATGTGTTATGAAAATTTTAGCATATGGTTTTGTGTTACATAATGGTGCATATCTAAGAAATGGATGGAATTTATTAGATTTTACAATTGTAGTTATAGGGTAAGCATACAAAATATTCCAGTTAAAAGCGCTTAGCGCCCAGGCCTCGCGGCCTCGTTTTAACCATTTTCTATGTTACCTTATATCCAATTCAATCGAAATTGACCAAATCAGAAAATCGTAAAACGAGAAAAGAAAAAATTTAAACAAAATTATCGAAAAGAAATCATGCCAAGACTGAGACACGTATGAACTTTGTATGCCGTACATTTTTACAGAGCGATAAGTACAGCACTCTCCCATTTGATGAAGGACGCCTTCGATGTGAAGGCCCTACGTGCCTTTCGTGTGCTACGTCCACTGCGACTTGTATCGGGTGTTCCAAGTAAGAGCTTCATTCCACAACCGACGAAAAAATTGAAAATCCAAAACTAAATCCTCAGGCGTGGTAAAGCGAAAGTCTAGCAACTACAGTCTGATTCGTAGTTAAAATACAGCACAGAGTTATGTTAAAAATACGAGTCTTACCAAATAATATCCGTTGTAATAATATCATTTCGTTCTTTTTTTTAAGATAATAATGGTAGAAACAATTACATTCTAGAATCAATGGAAAAACATTTTATTTTTTTTTTTTTTTTTTTTTTTTATTTATGAAACCAAACAATTAATGATTGAAATTTTTTTGGTACGCTACATTTTTATTTTCAATCGAAGAAACTCAAAAATTAACTTTTAAAGTATATGCATACATAAAAGACTTGTAAATCTAATATAAACATTTTAAAAAATTTCAATATTTTAAATATTTCTGTGCCGTGTTTTCTGCTAAGCTTTGATTGTTTGCACTAGATATTTACCCGCCAAACCATGCTAATGAGAACCTTAAAAACAAAAACCCAATCGAGTATTGGCAATTCATAACGCTATTCTACAGGTCTCCAGGTTGTGCTGAATTCGATTTTAAAGGCCATGGTGCCACTGTTTCACATTGCACTCCTGGTCATATTCGTAATCATAATCTACGCGATCATTGGCCTCGAGCTCTTCTCGGGCAAATTGCACAAGGCGTGTCGCGATGAGATCACAGGTAAGCGGATAGACTCCCATCATCGAATCGTACAATATTTATACGTTGTACGAATATCATTCAATAGTCTTGAATGCCACCAGATATGTCGCATTTCAAAATCAGCGTCCAAAAGGTTCTATCACTAGTAGATTAGTGTGTCAGGAAATCGGCGGCTGACATAACCATCTAACTCTAACACAACAAAAAAAACAAGCCCACAAGAATACGTTAAGGTAATGCCTCGATTTCCGGCTAATCTGCTAGTCAATAAAACTGATTGAAGTTATCAATTATTTTGGGACCAGTCAAATATGCCAAAGATGCGGCATATTCCGCAAACGACACTCCACAAGAATACCCAAAATGGCACTCCACGAACCACCACACAGCCGTATCTCAGAGATATCACCTCATCCATCCATCCTTTCCATTTCACTACATCACTAATGCATGAATCCTAAACCAAACAAAATCCAACTAAATGGAATCTAGGTGAATACGAGGAAAACATACGACCTTGCGGAGTGGGCTATCAGTGTCCACCAGGCATGAAGTGCTATGGCGGCTGGGATGGACCAAACGACGGCATCACCAACTTCGACAACTTTGGCCTGGCCATGTTGACGGTGTTCCAGTGCGTCACCCTCGAGGGCTGGACTGATGTCCTATACAGCGTAAGTGGCGCTTCAAATAAATGTTAATAATAATGATTAATTAAAAAAATGTAAACTATATTAAAAGTATGTTCAATAACATTTCATAGTTTATCAGATATCTATCCATATCTATTTTGGTTTATACTGAAGATTCAAATATAAAGAATTAACATGAAGAAATAATGGATTATAAATGCTAAAGAATTCGCGTTAAGAGTTTAGCTTTAAAATTAGTCCAAAACAAAAGCCACTTAAGGGATTCTGGTAACTTTAAAATTAGCCCGAAACAGAAACCACTTGTGGGATTTTTATTGATTGAAATAAATAAACGAAATCATCCATTTCAGATCCAAGATGCAATGGGCAGCGACTGGCAGTGGATGTACTTCATTTCCATGGTCATTCTGGGCGCCTTCTTCGTGATGAATCTGATTCTCGGTGTGTTGTCCGGTGAGTTCTCCAAGGAGCGTAACAAGGCCAAGAATCGCGGTGACTTCCAGAAGCTGCGCGAAAAGCAGCAGATCGAAGAGGACCTGCGCGGCTATCTCGACTGGATCACCCAAGCCGAGGACATCGAGCCCGATGCCGTGGGTGGTCTGATATCCGATGGCAAGGGCAAACAGCCCAATGAAATGGACTCCACCGAGAACCTGGGCGAGGAAATGCCCGAGGTTCAGTTGACTGAGTCGCGTTGGCGTAAAATGAAAAAGGACTTTGATCGGGTGAATCGCCGAATGCGACGAGCCTGTCGCAAGGCCGTCAAATCCCAGGCATTCTACTGGCTCATCATCGTTCTGGTGTTCCTCAATACGGGCGTCCTGGCTACGGAGCATTATGGCCAACTAGATTGGTTGGACAACTTCCAGGGTGAGTTTGGATTTTATGATTAATATAAAAAAAATATGTAAACATACCCTTTATTTTCTGGTGTTTAAACATTCGCGGTTATAGTCTAAATATTCTTAGATGTTTTTTTAAAAATTATCCATAGCTATCAATATAATTCCAAACATTTTGTTTCAAGATGAAAGTAATATTTCGCTTACCCTTTTTTTAGAGTACACCAACATGTTCTTCATCGGACTTTTCACCTGCGAAATGTTATTGAAGATGTACAGTCTGGGCTTTCAGGGCTACTTCGTTTCGCTGTTCAATCGCTTTGATTGTTTCGTGGTGATTGGCAGTATAACAGAGACCTTGTTGACCAATACGGGAATGATGCCTCCTTTGGGTGTTTCTGTGTTGCGATGTGTCCGACTCCTAAGAGTTTTTAAAGTAACCAAGTGAGTGAATGACCTTCTCATCATGAAATATATGTTATATATTAAAACATTCCCATTTTTACAGGTACTGGCGATCTCTATCAAATCTCGTTGCTTCCCTATTGAACTCTATACAATCGATTGCTTCGCTTTTGTTACTGCTCTTCCTGTTTATTGTGATATTTGCTCTGCTGGGTATGCAAGTCTTTGGCGGTAAATTTAATTTCGATGGCAAAGAGGAGAAGTATCGAATGAATTTCGACTGCTTCTGGCAAGCTCTGCTTACAGTCTTTCAAGTAAGTGTTTTCTATAAATATTTATTATTCTGATTGATAACGTTTAATACACTTTCCAGATCATGACTGGTGAAGATTGGAATGCTGTGATGTATGTGGGCATCAATGCCTATGGCGGTGTGTCCTCCTATGGTGCCTTGGCCTGTATTTACTTTATCATTTTGTTTATATGCGGCAACTACATATTGCTAAATGTGTTCTTGGCCATCGCTGTGGATAATTTGGCCGATGCCGACTCGTTGTCCGAGGTGGAAAAAGAAGAGGAGCCAGTAAGTTTAAAATCAGTTTTCTTTAAAGGTCCAAAACTGTAATTTGCTTAAATTGTTTTAGCACGATGAATCAGCTCAGAAAAAGTCTCACAGTCCCACTCCAACAATCGATGGCATGGATGATCATCTTAGCATAGATATCGATATGGAGCCACATGAACTGGATGACGAAGATAAAATGTAGGGCAAGGATAAGGTTTTATAATTTATAATTATAAGCTAGTCAATTCAGAGCTAAAACTGCTTTTTTGCAAAGTTGTCGTATGAATTCTAACTTCAACTTTTTTTTTAGGGACCATGAAACTCTGTCCGATGAGGAAGTCCGTGAAATGTGCGAGGAGGAGGAAGAAGGTATGTCATGTTGAATTTTATTAACTAACTTAACAACTAAGCTCAGTCTAAGATTTATATATAATACTAGAATTACAAAAATTAAGTATTTTAGCTTATGCTTAGACTTACTCAAAACTAACACATATCAAAACCGAATCAAAAATATTTCCTAAAAACAATGCCGCCGACGCCTTGATCAACTGCTGCTATTTTTTGGAAACCACGCACCAACCAAACCAAACCAAACCAATCCCAAACAAAACACAAAAACACTCGCAAATATTAATCGAAAGACTCCAATTCCGAAGTATCAGCACGTGTCACTGCACGACCCCGACGATTATCTGAGGTCAGCATGAAGAAGACTAAAAAGCCCATCCCGCGAGGCAGTGCCTTTTTCATTTTCAGTTACACGAACAGGTAAATCAATCAACCGATCCATCATCGGTCGACGTCATACAAAGAACACTTGCACACAATCTTTAATATGGTCCATGTGTTTTGTGATTGGAGTTAATTTATTTTACACTAGTTCAGCCGTTTGTTGTTCGCATGTGGCATACAATCGATTTTACTTTCCTATCGAGCTGTATCTAATGCGTATTTGCGAATGTATATAACTTTTATTCTTTTTAGTTTCGACAACCAAACCAAAAACCCTATACGACACTGACAATATTTTTGATTTATTCTTTTTAAATTGGTTTTGCATTTTGCTGTTAGGGCTGGCCAACATTAAGAACGTTTATATTTTTTTCATCACTTTCTTTTTTATAAAGGTATCATAGGTATATGTAGAAAAAACTGCAATTTTCATATATTTTTTCTAAGAACCTAAGTTTATATTTAAGGTATTTGTAGTTTAATTGTATAAATGGTTTTTGGATAAATTCTTATAAATGTGTTTATTATTTTTTCCAAATTGGCATCTTACATATATATACGTAATATATGATAAAAATTTGTATTGCATATAGTGGATGAAGAAGGCATGATTACAGCACGCCCCCGACGTATGTCTGAGGTTAATACGGCAACGAAAATTCTACCCATACCGCCGGGCACATCATTTTTTCTTTTCTCACAAACGAACAGGTTTTTATGTTTGAGTATTATTTTCCCCGAATGTCACAAATCTCCGAAAATACTATATATTTTGATATCTGTGTGCAATGCGTGTACGTGTGTGTGTAAATTATGTTTTTTAAAACATAATATCAATAATCATGTATTTGTCCTTTTGTTTAACCTTTTTTTGTATTTGTCCTAAGTCGAAAATATCCCGAATTGATTTTTAGTTTGATTAGATCATAGAAATTCATTTTTGGTAGACCAAAATTAAATAGATTCTTAATTCCAAGCTGCTTTTTAAACCATTATTTTGTTGTTAACTTGTCTTGTGAAAGCCCTAACTGCATGATATATATATTTATTTTGTGATTTTATTTTCTGTGATAAGGAGTCTGTTTGGCACTCGATTGTTAACAGTTCATTGAACTATATTTTAACAGATTCCGTGTCTTCTGCCATTGGCTTTGCAATCACAGCAATTTCGGCAACATAATCCTGTGTTGCATTATGTTTTCATCGGCCATGTTGGCAGCAGAAAATCCTCTGAGAGCCAACGATGAGCTGAATAAAGTAAGTAGCTCCTGTTCCGAAACCAAAAGAACAACGTCAAGTGATATTAATAACTTGTAAGTTACGATTGAAGCTTGAAAAGAGCTGATATCAATTTTTCTTTACACCAAAAACACTTTTCATTCTATGTCCTTCACTATTCGTTTGTTTTTGCAGGTGCTCAATAAATTTGATTACTTTTTCACGGCAGTTTTCACAATAGAACTGATTCTGAAATTGATTTCATACGGTTTCGTGTTACACGACGGAGCCTTTTGCAGATCCGCATTTAATCTATTAGATTTACTTGTGGTCTGTGTGTCATTGATATCTCTTGTGTCCAGGTAAACGATAATCCATATAACTACTCTAACCCAGTAGTTGTGATACTAATTACTTCTGGAATATAAACTAAACGTCGATTTCAACTGCAGTTCGAATGCGATTTCAGTCGTGAAAATTCTACGTGTGCTCCGTGTTTTAAGGCCACTCAGAGCCATTAATCGTGCCAAGGGTCTCAAGGTAAGAATTCATCCAAAGCCTTTTCCTATCTCGCTATTTATTTTTCTGACACATCAATAAATGCTTTAATTCAAAATGTTTACACTTTTTCTTTGAGTTTCAGTTTTGTATTTTTATTTAATTACGAAAATTACAAATCAAATAACAATTTTTTATTTTCAACTTATTTGCTTTTAAAATTTGTTTACAAATGATAACCTCAAATAAGTGTTCTGGGCCTTTAAATAACTTTAGAGTATGCCAAACAAAAAACCTTGAAATGCTGGGTGTAGGGTGCACCACAATAAAGTTATAAAACAAAAACTTGAGCAACAAAAAGTTTACTCATAAACTATACACAGCTGAAAAAAATATTTTTTAATTTTGAGCTTTACTCGTAACACCCTAACGAAAATGGGCGTGGAATAGAAATGTATGGGCGTGGCTTGGGCATAGTGAAATCTATGTAATAACTCCTGATACTAAACACAGCGCAAACAAAGGAAGTCAGAAAACAAATATGCCTTAAGTTATGATTAGTCTTATTTATCAAATAGAGTATTACTATAACTATATATCGTCGTATCACATACAGCATGTTGTTCAGTGTGTCATAGTCGCTGTTAAGACTATCGGAAATATTGTGCTCGTCACATGCCTACTGCAGTTCATGTTTGCCGTTATAGGAGTCCAATTGTTTAAGGTATGATTTTATTTTTAAGTTCCCACTTGATTTGTCTCCCCTCTTGTTAAGTACGGAAGCCTTAGAATGTAGAAAAAATCTCATATAAAGAAGATTAGGACAACCGATTTAATACCTTTGAAAATGTTTTTTCAACAAGTTTTTTAACCAAGGGTATTAAATAATTAGGATTAAAGAATATATATAAAATTAATGATAGAATCAAACAAAAAAGAATGATGTACAAACTCTGGACTATACAACCGCATGGAACCTTAAATACCTCTTAGGAATAGTAATCTTTAGCGGAAGAGCTTAAGTTTGTTTATCTGCTTTTATAAAAAATTGTAAAAGAAATGTATGTTTTCTAAAAGTTATTTAGGTTGAGTTTGGGTGTAAGCACATACAACTTCCAAAAAAATTCCTAACATGTTTTTGTTGTTTAAAATACATTTTTTGTTTAAATTTGCATTTACTAATACTGTTAAAAGCTTTCTTAATTTGTTATGGTTTCACAATATGTTGACTAATTTGTGTAGCATAATTGGGTTTACTTATAACTAAATCAATAAAAATAAAATGACAAATCAATCCAATTCGAACGACTAGCAACTGTAAATAATACCAATTTTTGCTAGCTAGTACTGCTTATTAATGCTCAGCATAATGCTCAAATAACCAAGGACAAGTCGGTATCAAAGATATATCACAAATAGCCATCCACAAGAAATGGATTGTTAAACCTTTGGAAATTACTATTAAGAATTTATAATAATCAATTTAAGTGACTACACTGATCCTAACATAACTCACACGACTTAAAACACATTATACATATATTGTAATATCAACTCTTATATATTCCACACCCATTTTCTGCGTTTGTACACGTCTAAATGCAACAAATTCACAATAGATATCGATAAGCGATCATAAGCACACCTACACATATAGTACATACGCTATATACTTAAAAGCACACACATCAGCACATGAACTTTGGGTCTTATCCTTTAGCAACAAATCAGCAACCTACCTTGCACCCTAGCATCAAGGCCATTCCTGTCCTTTAGCAAATATACTTCCCAGGTGTAAAGAGCCCCAACAATTGAGGACCCATCAGTAACACAAACTTCCAGCAGTGTTGAATAGAACATTTTTTCATAAATCCACAGTAAAATCGGCTTTCCTGTATCGAAAACTATGTAAATGCAATATAAATCTTTTATTATCTCTTTTAAATTGTATTAAAAACGATACAAGTTTTTAGAAATTTTTTAAAATTCATTAGTTCATAAATTTAAAAAGAAAAAGGTATAACTTTTACTGTGGATTTATAAACTACTAATTCAAAGTGTATTAGATTTTCATTTCATTAGTTTGTATATTTACCTTCCTAGGATATATCTTTTGATTTTGATTTTATTTGTTTTTTTACTTTCTGTTTTAATTTTTATTCCTGTAATTGTACAAATTTAAACTAAATCCTATTTTTAGAATGTTAAATGTCAAAAACCGTATCTTCTCAAAAAAGGATGTCCCAATAATTTAAACGAATTTTCTTCCTTCTTTCTCTCCTCGATCGTGTTTCGGTTGTTTTATATTGAATTTTGCAACCACAACAAAAAAATGTCGTAAAATTACTACTGATACTTTGCCAAACCATTTGATTACATCATAAAAATGTGGCCACCAAACACAAAAAAATAACACTCTAATCGATGCTGAAAAACCACACACAAACTTGAATTGAAAATAAAAATATATTCTTAATTGTCATTCATTCGTCAAAAATTCGAACAATCAACCAATTGGCCAACACTGATAAAACAATAAACTTCTGCAGTATGTGGTCAAGTGCGTTGTAGTCGCAATCAAAACCATTGGTAATATCATGTTGGTGACATATTTGTTACAATTCATGTTCGCTGTTATTGGAGTACAACTCTTTAAGGTAATTTCTTTTGAATTATATATGAAAAGTCATTGGTGAAGGGTATCTTCAGACGGCTTTAAGTGTGCGCTTCAATTTTTTAAAAGGAACAACTATAAATGAATAATAAATGCGGCTTAATCTATGTGTGCTTTGAATTTTGTAGTTTCTTTTCATCTTGGTATTTGTGTTAGGGTAATTTTTATTGGAAGGTAACTATTATCGATGTTATATCTTTGAATTTGACTACAAAAAAGTCTTTTTTTAAAGCAAAGTCTTAAAGTCATTTTTTTGTGCCATTGTTTTCTTAACAGAATTATTCGCTTTGCAAGCGCTTGGTAAATCCAAAAAAATGTTCTCAAGTTTTACCATCCAGCTTAGTTCAATTTTCAGCTTCTCGAAACTAACCTCTAAGGCAAAGTTAGCTTGCTCCCCTGCTAACCCAAATTGTAATATATTTCTATATCTTCCCATGTATGTAACATTGTTTTCAACCCAGTAACATTTGTTGGTGTCCCGTCTGTAAATATTGCTCTGTCCAAAAAAACTAAAACTGTTGTCGCCCATCCAACAATTTCGAGCAGTGTATGTAAATGTGTTTGCATATGAAAAACACCCTGTGTATGTGTGCATACATCTAAGCAAATATGTAGAGCTAGATAGTCTATCATCGTATTTTGCTAAAAGCTATTTCTGAACTAGGTATTAGTTAATAGTCCGTACAGTAAAGCAGTTTTAATGTTTGTGATTCCTGGGAAAGCAAACTCGAGCGAAGATACTTCACATCGAGACTGCTATCCATAACATGAAACCTTGTCCACTTTTTATGTCAATTCTAATACTATCTTCTCATTCCCCGACGACCCTTCACATTTCCCACAAATCAAAACTATAGGGTAAATTTTTCAAGTGCACGGACGGTTCCAAAATGACGCAGGATGAATGCTAGTAAGTGAAATTCTTATGACCAAACTAAGCTTAGTTTTAATGAAATAATTTATTTTAGTGGCACCTATTTGGTCTATGACGATGGTGATGTCCACAAGCCGCGACTCAAGGAGAGGGAATGGAGTAACAATCGTTTTCACTTTGACGATGTGGCCAAGGGCATGTTGACCCTTTTCACGGTGTCCACTTTTGAGGGTTGGCCAGGGTAAGATTTTATACTTCCTTATTTTTTCAAGACTTTTACTATTTTTGTATTCCAGATTGCTGTACGTTTCGATTGATTCGAACATGGAAAACGGCGGACCAATACACAACTTCCGTCCGATTGTAGCTGCCTACTATATAATCTACATTATTATTATTGCCTTCTTTATGGTGAACATATTCGTCGGTTTCGTTATTGTCACTTTCCAAAATGAGGGTGAACAGGAATACAAAAATTGTGATCTGGATAAAAATCAGCGTAATTGCATAGAGTTCGCATTGAAAGCGAAACCTGTAAGGCGCTATATACCCAAGCATGGTATACAATATAAGGTCTGGTGGTTCGTCACATCGTCGTCCTTTGAGTACACCATATTCATATTGATTATGATAAACACGGTAACGCTGGCTATGAAGTTCTACAATCAGCCTTTGTGGTATACGGAACTTCTGGATGCCTTGAATATGATCTTTACGGCGGTGTTTGCCCTGGAGTTTGTATTCAAACTTGCCGCATTTCGATTTAAGGTAATGAAGACATAATACGCGATAAAAAATCATAAAATACCTCTTTTATATATTCAATTTCAGAACTATTTTGGAGATGCCTGGAACGTTTTCGATTTCATCATTGTTTTGGGCAGTTTTATTGACATTGTCTACTCTGAAATTAAGGTTCTTAAATATAATAGCTGGAATACTACTGAATCTAACCCTCAAATATTTGCAGAGCAAAGACACTTCTCAATCAGCACAATGTGATATTGTCGAGGGCTGTAAGGCCCAAAAGAAATCTGTGAGTTTCTATTTAATATTCCAACTATATATGATTTAAAATCGATTCTTTTTCAGGCTGGCTCAAATCTTATATCCATCAACTTCTTTCGTCTGTTTCGCGTAATGCGACTTGTGAAGCTTCTCAGCAAAGGCGAAGGCATTCGAACATTACTTTGGACCTTTATAAAATCTTTTCAGGCACTGCCCTATGTAGCACTGCTGATTGTTCTTCTATTTTTCATCTATGCTGTGGTGGGAATGCAAGTAAGTCCTTTAAATACAACTTTTTAAGGAGCTCTCTTTCATGAATAATATTTTTTCAGGTTTTTGGCAAAATTGCTTTGGATGGTGGTAACGCCATAACTGCCAATAACAACTTCCAGACTTTCCAGCAGGCTGTTCTCGTACTATTCAGATCGGCCACCGGAGAAGCCTGGCAGGAAATTATGATGTCCTGCTCGGCCCAACCGGATGTAAGATGCGACAAGAACTCAGACACACCGGATGATCCGTGCGGATCCTCAATAGCCTATCCCTACTTCATTTCTTTTTACGTTCTCTGCTCGTTTTTGGTAAGAAAATTTAAAAATGTTGTATTCTTTCTTCAAGCACTTTAATCTAAATGAGCCGCAAGCTTAGTTTCTAACTTAAGAATGTTAAGAAACTTATTGCTTTAATATTAATATATATTTCCAGATCATCAATCTTTTCGTGGCTGTCATTATGGACAACTTTGACTATCTGACGCGCGATTGGTCCATTTTGGGTCCCCATCATTTGGACGAATTTATTCGCCTTTGGAGCGAGTACGATCCGGATGCCAAGGGGCGCATCAAACACTTAGATGTGGTGACATTGCTGAGAAAGATATCCCCGCCACTGGGATTTGGCAAACTCTGTCCACATCGAATGGCCTGCAAGCGGCTGGTTTCCATGAACATGCCTCTCAACTCAGATGGAACTGTTCTGTTCAATGCCACGCTGTTTGCCGTGGTCCGCACCTCGTTAAGCATCAAAACGGAGGGCAATATCGATGATTGCAATGCCGAGCTGAGAGCCACGATCAAGCAGATCTGGAAACGCACCAATCCTAAGCTTCTGGATCAGGTTGTCCCACCGCCGGGCAACGATGACGAGGTGACCGTGGGCAAGTTCTACGCCACATATCTGATCCAGGACTACTTCCGGCGGTTCAAGAAGCGCAAGGAGCAGGAGGGCAAGGAGGGCCATCCGGACAGCAACACGGTCACTCTGCAGGCCGGTCTGCGAACCCTGCACGAGGTGTCCCCGGCTCTCAAGAGAGCCATCTCCGGCAATCTCGATGAGCTGGACCAGGAGCCGGAGCCCATGCATCGCGTAAGTTGATAAAAAAAACATTTAATCAGTTAATCATTCATTTATCGGTTCAATTCAATCCGGTTGATCTGGTGATAAGTTTATCTCAATTGTTCAAAATTTAAAATATTTTTATGAAATACCAAGAGCTTCATAATATCTTAAAATTTTTCTAAATAATAATACGAAGACATGATTATTCCCTAATGCAAAGTTGTTTAATTTATCTAAATTCATTTTCCTATAGAAATCTTCTTATGTACTAATTATTTTTTACAATACTTTAATCTTTATATATCATATAATTGATACCATTAACCAAAGACATTTGGCTATTTCGTATTTATCACTATTTTTTTGTATTTGTCACTCATACGCAAGGTTGCCTTCTATCAAGTTACCATAACCATACAAAATATTAAATAAAATGAAATTGAACTAAGTGTCAGAACTTTAAAATCATTAAGCAACAGCCTTAAGCAGTTTTGAATACATTTATTGCACGCTTAAATCTAGCATATTAAATAGTAACTTTTAATGTTTTTTTTAAATATTTAGTTTATTTAAAATATACTTTATGGATTTTATATTAATACTTTTCCTCATATTTCTTTCAGCGCCACCATACGCTTTTTGGCAGCGTGTGGTCGTCGATCCGCCGACATGGGAACGGAACCTTCCGGCGGAGTGCCAAGGCGACGGCCTCGCAGAGCAACGGTGCCCTGGCGATTGGCGGATCCGCCTCCGCGGCGATGGGCGTGGGCGGCAGTTCGCTGGTGCTGGGCAGTGCGGATCCCGCTGGCGGGGATTACCTGTACGACACCTTGAACCGCAGTGTGGCCGATGGGGTGAACAACATCACGCGGAACATAATGCAGGCAAGATTGGCGGCCGCGGGAAAGCTGCAGGACGAACTGCAGGGGACCGGAAGCGGAGGGGAGCTTAGGACCTTTGGCGAGAGCATTTCGATGCGACCGCTGGCCAAAAACGGGGGCGGAGGAGGAGCGGCCACTGTGGCCGGTACGCTGCCGCCCGAGGCCAATGCCATTAACTATGAGTGAGTATGCGGGGCGGTTGTTTGTGGAGGTGGTAAAGGAGCGGCCATTAGGCCAACTTTGACTCCAAAGTTTCACCTAGCCAAAAAATAAACAAAACATAAAAAAAGAAATAATAATAACTATTATGAACACACGAAACTCCATTACCATAATACTTGTTACTATGGCTTGCTGTTTAGTGAGTTGATTCATATATTCTTATTGCCAACAATTATCGTTTTCTGTTTTGTGGCATTTTGTTTGGTCACCTAGTGAAGAGCGCCCTAAAGTTTGTAATGGACAAAAGGAGCCGAGCCAAGCTCAACTGACTTGGCACCACCAAAACAAATACGAGTTTTAAATTAGTGGACTTAGCAAACTTAGTTGCAATCACAAAATACCTTTAAATGCATACTTGTTGCCACATAAACTAGTGGATTTTAAACCAAATGATACAAAAAAGACCATACTTATTGAGAAAAAAAAGCAACATAAACCAAACTTTTACTCAATCCCCGAACATTAATTTCAGCAACCGCAATCGTGGTATTTTATTGCATCCATATAACAATGGTAAGCCTAAAATGCTGCAAATTGCAATAATAAAATTAAAACAAATAAAAACATAACAAACAACTACAGCAGTAATTGCAACAGTAACAACAAATGCACTACAATTTATTAACATTATTTAATGTGGTTCTTTTTTATTTTGTTCCTTTTTAACCGGATAAATTACTAAAAAAAATTCCGGTCAAATTGGTTTGTTTGTTGTTTTCATACACTCCAAATTGGACTCTAACAAAAACGCAAATAATTTTTATTATAACACCGATCTAATTGTTTACCCAATAATTTGTTTTGTTTTATCTCCGATTATTGTAGCTGCTGCATTCCTATTAAATATATTGCAAAATAAAATTATGTACAGATTCTCGCCCACTGCGTTCTAAGATTTGTTATTGCCTGCGGCATGTAAAAACGTTAAAAACGACTGTTCAAGTCAACTGCAAAATCACAAACTAATCAGACGAGGCGTCCAAATGTTCTTCGTTTTTATTGTAATTTCCTGGCTGTTTATTAATCGGGAAAAAATTAAAATAACCGAATCGAATAATAAACAATTTAAATTATGTTTCACAACATTTGTAGTACACATCCATTAGATCTTATTTCTGAATTAAATATTTAATAGACTAGTTATTGTAGAACAAACTCGTAGTTTAGTTATATTTGAGTGGAGCTTTATATTTTACAGCTAAAAACTAGAAACGCTTTTGCTGCATTATAGTTAAAATCTAGTCAAACACACAAAAAAACACATTTCAAAACATAAAGCATACATATTTGAGAATATTTCGATTTCAGAACAGCAATCTTACAGGTAAAGTCGTACATTATGTTTTTAATGATGATTAGAGATCGGGATGCTTCGCCATTGACTAGGGGAAATTTATATTTTTTTAATAACAATATTTTAAACTTAAGTAATTTATAAAATATAAAAAAAATATTATGGTTTTAATTTTTTATTTTTGGTTTGCTTTAACTCTACGATGCAGAAAGTCAATGAAGGAAATTCGATATGAATTGGCAGATCTTTTTTATATACTATCAATATGAAACTCTCCTCCCCATCTACTTTCCAATAACGATCGTGTTAACCACATTTAAACCTGAATTAAGTAACCACTTCAAAAGACTATCCCAATATAACAAGTTAATACCTTTAACCAAAGCGTCTGTGGCTCCTTTTGTTAATTACAAACTAATAAACTGATATAACGCATCAAAAATCATCAATTTTAAGGAACAACAAATTCACAAAAAAAAAAATAATTAAAAAAATTTGTCAATTGTGTCTGCTAAAGTAATTTGTTCTTATAACTTTTTCTTAAAAAATCTTTATTATAGCATAAGTGATTCGAGTTTAAAAACCACCGAGTGCTGAGTTTCGAACCAAAGACAAAGAGTCTCCAATGAGTTCGAATCAAGACTGTTTTCCCTGTTTTTCATATGGGAATCGTTTCCAAACGTAAATTTTTGTCTCATTATTTCCTGTTAAATTTAAAATGTACAAAAAAAATCTATTAAAACATTCCGTTGTCGGTAAAAGATAATGCCATATATTCGTGTTACCGATTTGAGAGTTCCCTGATAACAATGTGGATTTAAAGACATAACACCTACAACAAGAACAACAAACTACAACAAGTACCAGAAACAACTTTAACAACAACAATCGTTTAACACGCAACAACAGCAACCAGAGAGAACGTAATTAAAAGCAAATCCAAAGCAAACCCGATATCGATGTCTATATATTCTATATATATAATATTTCTTATATATATATAAACAAGCCGTGATGTTGTGCCCATCTACTCATAAGCCTTGGCCTTGGCTTTATTGAGCCGCATATCCCCTACAGAAATGTGTGCCTTGCGACCATATAAACCACATCTTATACATTTAATACTAACCAAACCAAGTACTCAATTGTTATACCCAAAAGCTGAGAATCTAAACGTTGTCTTCGTTGTAATTGTTAAAAAATATATACGTATATGTTTTCCTATGCTATGCCCAAATCAGCCAGCAAAAGTATTCCAAAATTTAATATTGTCTTTCAGTGTTGTATTGTCGTCGCTTCCTTTTTTCATTTGTGTGGGAATTATTGTCACATGGATTTGAGGCCTCCGGGTTTCACATCCACTTCACAAACATTAAAACACTGTGTATACAAACACACCTCAGATAAATAAATACCTACTATAAATGCTTAGATCCGACGCCTGCATAGTTCATAGAACGTCTAGCACTAAATTTCGTATAAGTGTTGCCTAGCATTTGTGGAAAACATCGAGCTTTGCCCTATTTTATAACAATAACTGCTTGCTTAATTTAGAAAAACATTATTATTTAATTTGTGCTTATGATATTAACATTTATTTTAAAGGTTATAACCCAGATTGTAACAATGTTTGAAAGTCGTGTTTAACAAGCTTGTAATATCGAATGCTTAACTAACCATTAACTGTAATCATATTTTACAATCAAATTAATAAGCTTGATGATCCTATTGAACAGGGAAGTTACAAAATATTTGTTACGATAAGAACAAAGTATTATCATAATATATCAAATGAGTACAGCATTTATATAATAATTTAAAATTGTAGTTCCTAATACTTAACAAGACATTTTTGTCACAACTTAAGTTAATATTTACCAAATATATAGATTATATTCTTACATATTTGATATGTTTTATATATTTTCTCACATCTGATCAAGTTCAAATTTAAACAAATTAATATATTTTAAAATCTATTATAAATATTACATGAGTTGTTGATCATTATTGTAAATAATTTGAATTAATATAAAAAACTTTATAGAACAATAATAGAGGTGTAAAGTGAAGTATAGAAAAGTAGCTTCTGGATCATCAAGCTCTAATAAAGCGTGTAAATAAATACCTTATGATAAGAAATTGTTTAATTAAAACCTTTCAAATTGTCTTATTTTATGCGCACATGCAGTCTACGCACCCAATGGTGCTATTCCTGGCCACGAACGCATGATCCAATCGACACCAGCTAGTCCCTACGATCAGCGTCGTTTACCAACTTCATCTGATATGAACGGCCTGGCCGAATCATTGATTGGAGGGGTAAGTAGTGTAACACAAGTATTAAAATTCGATGCGATTTACTTTAACAAGATATCCAGTTTAATGATATTCATATTTATTTCATAATTATGTTTTCCATTTAAGAAAATCCCATATTCGACTGGGCAAGCTAAATAAGTAAACTGCATTTAACGTAAGAAACAGGAATATTCGCGGGTCTGAAGAATTCGCGTTTATATGTATTTTAAATTATTTTTATGTATTAATTGCACTTTTGGTAAAATATTTATTACATACTTTAAATAAGTCATACATTTACTTTTATTATACAAACTTGATCAAATTTTGTAATTTCAGGTACTCGCCGCTGAGGGATTGGGTAAATACTGTGACTCCGAATTTGTAGGAACGGCTGCGCGGGAGATGCGCGAGGCCCTGGACATGACGCCCGAGGAAATGAACCTGGCCGCCCACCAGATCCTCTCGAACGAGCACTCGCTCAGCCTGATTGGCAGTAGCAATGGCAGCATCTTCGGCGGTTCAGCCAGTGGCCTTGGTGGGGGTGGTGCTGGTGGGTTGGGCGGTAGCAGCAACATTCGCAACGCTTTTGGCGGAAGCGGAAGTGGTCCGTCCTCGATGTCGCCGCAAAATCAGCCGTATTCGGGCACTCTGAACTCACCACCGATTCCGGATAATCGTCTGAGACGCGTTGCCACTGTTACGACCACAAACAATAACAATAAGTCCCAACTTAGCCAAAACAATTCGAGTAGTCTAAATAGCAGAGCTAATGCCAATAGCCAAATGAACATGTCACCAACACAATCGCCCCAAAGAGGTCAGGGGAATCAGAACTTCTCCTCATAGCACCCACACTTTAAGCTACACATACAGAACGTCTTCTTGATGGAATTTTAGGAGTATATCTAGCGGAAATCGAAGTTGCATGGTTGATTTATGTATAATTTTTAGCGAAGAAAAAACACTTTAGTATTAGAGTCGGGAATTAGTATATTTGAATTGTTCGCAAGCGAGAACCAAACAAAAGGAAACTTGTATAAAGCAAATCAGTTAATTGTAATTGTATAAAAATAATAATGTTTTTGCCTTTTTGGGAAATCTATCGTGGGTATTCGTCCTCTAACGAGCCACAAACCAAAAAACCAAACTGAACAATATAAGAAAAAATGTATATTTTTGGAAAACAAAGAAAAAACCAACCTAAACTGATAATGTTTAACTTGTAATTAGAACTACGAATCAAAACCGAAAAAGATAAAATAATAGCACACCAATATAATTGACTAGGTAATAATCATCAAAACTTGAAACAAATATTTATATATTAACATTGAACATTACATTATTGAGCGACAGTGTAATTACCTATTTCGATTTAGACGCATTTTATTTTTTAAGTATTTAATAAATGAACAATTTATAATAAATAGAATTGTTTACTATATATGTAGCAGACATATAAATGTAATAGCATAATTTCAAAATGAATGAGAGACCGGAGCCCTTTAAAAAATTAATGTAACTGAATTTTAATTGTTATGATTGAATTTTTACAATAAAAACCAGAAAAATGTGAGCAAATTAAAAGTTGATTTTTTAATTTATCTGTAGCTTTCCATTAGCTTTTGCTTGTTGCAAAATTTGCAATGAGAGCTACACGAATAATGTTCATATTTATATAGCGTATTATTTAAAAGTTTTAGCTGCCGAGCGTTTGCATACTGTTGATATTATTCCATTTCATGTGGCGCAATCTGCTGCTTTAAAAAGAAATGCATATCATATATTTTATTATTACAATTGGTAATAGTCAGCTCTTGACAATTTGACAAACTACTGAAACTAATTCTTTGCGACATAAAATAAAGCAGCAGCAACATGCAGCAATAAAGTGTTTGAATAAAAAGAGAGAAGAGAAGAAACACGAGTTTAATTAAAAAAGTGCAAATTGATTTCGCTTGGATTTTTTAATCGATTTCGAAGGCTGAGCAGGACATATTGAAAAGCGTTCAATTTAATGAAAAAATATATCCAAATAAAATATTTTTTTTGGAATGCGTAGCATAATTGAGTTTGTGGATATGCAAGCCATTTGAAAGTGACCTTCCGACTTTTCTGTTTCTATTTTTTCCCCCCAGAGCGCGCACGTGTTAATCTGCCACACAAAGGATTTAGAGTGCCTCCCCCGCATGGAACAATAAAAAATAAACAAATAAACACAGTAGCAGCAGCAGCAGCAGCAAGTAGCTACCATTTTGCCATCGATTTTCTGTCTGGGGCATTTTCTTAACAACACTTGGCCAGCCCCCATTTTTGCCGCTCCATTCTTTGCACTCCGATGGCTGCTGCACGTTGCAATTTGGCGCTGCTCTTCGGTTTGCCAATGCCATTGTTTGACTTGGGCTAATACGAGTATGACTGAGCCTCAGCTGCAATCGAATGAGGAAAAACAGAAAAGAACTGGGGGCCGACCAAGTGGGTGGCATCCAACTGAGATTTCCAAAGACAGGACGGGATAGCACTGGACTGCACTGGACTGGACAGGACAGGACACGCCAAGCTGTGGCCCACGTCCCATGGTCGAGGATAACGCAAGAAAATGTTCTTAAATTAAATATTTGCCCGGTCCAAAACGGGCACAGAGCCTCGCAAGTCTGGGAGCCAACTCCTCGGGCATTGGTGGGTTAAGAGAATATGCAACTAATCATCGTGACATCCACAATGCCCCTCCATAAATATTTCACATGCTCTCTGGCGATTTCCGTGCAAATATCTTGCAAATGCATTGTCACAGTATGTGCGGAAATCTTTTATCAGCATGCTGAGGAGTGGCACTAGCTCTACTTACTTAAAGCTAAGTTAAGCACGATTTCCTAACAGCATGTAAAATTAGGATAAATTCAACATCACTGCTTAATCAATTTAAAGAACTTTAAGATTTTTCAATATTAAATAAGGTTTTATTTCATATAATTTAAATAGGAATAATTAAACGGTAATGGGAGTTTGTAACCCGTCTAATTTAAAAATGTTATAAAATTCTTTCAAAACAGCATCAGAAAATTTTAAATCAGGCTGATTGGCTCATTATATAGTTTCATTTGCTTTTTACAATCTCATAAAAAACTTACTGAACAATAGTTGCCAAAAAATTATTCATTTGAGTTTTGCTTTTCAAATCTTCAAATTCAAATTTTTTATACTACGTAAACTTTTTGTATGCAAATAACCCAATATTACCGCAATAACAAAAGCAAACCAAAATTACCGGCATAATGTGGACCACTGTCAGAAAAAGTTTGTCCGAAGACAAGTTATAAGGCGTAAAAATAACTTAAGCCATTTGAATGGCATTCACTGGAGCAAACTTCCAATCCAAATGGAGCCATAAAATGCTGCATTCCCAATTGCAGATGCAGCCGCCAGGAAGTCTGCAAAACATCAGCATAATCCGAGCAGCAAATGACTGACAAGGAGAAACTTAAAGCTACAGGATGGCTCGATGGGGTATCGCGCAAGATGTAAGGCCGTTTGCCCATCCGTAATTGTGCTAAAAGGGGCGATAAAGTGGGAGTGTAGGAGTGTAGACCCCACTACGCATAGTTAGGCGGCCCATTACACAAACTGCACACGGCATTTAGTTTTTGCCTCAAGCCTAATTGGCCTCATTATGGTTACAAGGAATAGCGCTGCTCATTTGCGATTAACCGCACGTAGAACATAACTACAAACAGAGCGTGGGTTAAATCCAAACAAACCCAGAAAGAAAAAAACCCTCAAAGGGGAAATTGTGCTCCAAAATCAACGGTGAGTTATGTGCGAGTATGATATGTGGTGTAAGAAACCGGGGAGTGTGAGTCGGAAAAATTGCCCCTGGCGTTATCTTTTGTGCTTTTATCAGTGCGCAGACAGACCCAAAACACACAACCAACCCGAACGGGTCCTTGTGTTTCATTAGAAAACGGCTAATTTGGTTCTCGGCTTCGATGCAAATACCTATTTACCCGCCGGATGTTCAGTGAAAAAATCAAGCAGAATTTCGAAGGGATGAGCAAACACAAAAAATCAGACAGACAGCGCATAGAAACATAAATTACATTTGCCCGAGGACCAAAAAAAAGTGTTGATAAATGTATGAAAATTAGTTAGACGCCGCCAGAGGAATGTCAATTAAATAAATTTTTGAATAAAAGATTCAGGATTCATCTGCTTGGTTAGAGTTCATAAATCATGACTTTTTCCAAACGTTTTAATTTTTATCAGCATTTCATTTTGGACCTAGCTTAACACAACATAAAAACGATTTCAAGAATTGTTTTTAAATATTTTTTTGTTATTATACGTTTGATAAGTATATAAAGCAAAATCTGTGAAGCTTTATAATTCATTTTTCATAATAATATCGTATTTTCCTAAAGTCAATTTTATACGAAATCTAAATTATGTATCTGAAGATTTCTCCTGTGTATGAATACATTTTTTTCTTTTCACAAAATTCTTAATAGGTATTTTGCATTTTATACCCAACGTTCTCATAACTTTCACATATTAAAGAAAGTAAATTCCGAAAAACTTACGATTTAACATATTAAAACAATAAAGCGCCCTGGGATGATATATGCAACAATTTGTGGCATGAGCACACGCTGACATTGTTTATAAGATTAACACAAAAAATACAACAAAACAAGACAGAAACGGTTGCGAATAAGCCACAAAAAATGTGTCTGTCTGGCTGGCTGGAACTTATCACGCAGCAGGCCAAAGGAGGGAAATGGCCATAGAAATATGTCACAGCAGGCGAAAGTGAAAGACAGCGCCAAAATCCGAGGTGTAATATCCTGCTTGACAGCAACAAAAAAATAAACAAAAAAGCAGGGAATATACAAGCATGTAAAGAACAACGAAGTGAAGTTCGCGTTCCACCAGAATGGGTACTGAAAAAATGCTTTCGAAATGACGACACAGCGACGCGGGTGGCAAACCGTCCAGGAGCCTTCACAAGAGACGGCTTAAGCTTATATCTCTGAGTCCTTTATTAAATGTGATACCCCTGCCCATCATCCCATTTGCCAAGGCCCCCTGCAATCTCATCTGTTGCCGCCTGAGTAATGCTATTGGCGAAAAACATCGTACCAATTTCTTCAACGTTAACAGCTTTGGTAGCAAAAAAAAAATAAAAAAAATAATAAATAAAAATAATTAAAGATTTAATCATTCAACATTTATTTATAATTATTATTATTACCCTCGAAAACCCTTCCGAAAAAATTTATTGAAAATGTACGTACTTATAAAAAAAGCTAAGCTATTAATATAAATACAAGCCAAAATTACAAAATTATCACTGTATGATAGGCATAATTTCTTAACTAAATAAATACATAATAATAGTATAACATTGTTGATATCTTATTAGCATGTTTAATTTATTTTATAACTTCATTGACGAATTTTTAATAAAACAAAATATCAAACAGTCACGAAGTTTTGTTTTATTTGTGCATGTTGAGAATAGAAAATGATGAGTTGATTTTGATTGCCACTTTAAAAAGTTCTTAGCTTTTGTTAAACGTACGAGCGGATTGAAAATGTAGAGTTGATTTTTGATTGCCACTTTAAAAAGTTCTTAGCTTTTGTTAAACATACGAGCGGATTGAATATCTAACAGTTCATGAAAAGCAGGAAGTGGAAACGGTGAAATCGCCAATAATTTTGACCGTCCCAAAGGCTTCAGCAAACTCGCATTGCATGGGATTGCAGCTCATTATTGCTACTATTATTGTAACTGTTGTTCCATTCCCGCTCGATGGCTGACGTGGAAATCCCTTTGGACTACGGTGAGAATCGAAATGAAAATTGTTGAAGTTCATCAAATGCCCTGGTAGACAAAGTAAAACTAACAAGAATGCTAGAAACATATCCATGTTTCCTAACTAATTTGTTTCTAAGCTGTTTACGTTATTTATATAACAACTAACAACATAACAATTTTAAATAGAATAGTAAATCAATCTTTCAAGATCCAAAATTTCTTAATTTGTATTGGTTTTAATATTCTTAAATCTTTACGCCTCGCAGCTAATTGCTAAACTACCAACAACCTAACTCGCTTACGGAACAAGCAAATCATTTTAAACTTTTGAATAAAAGCAAAACCTTAAACAAAAATCAATAGCAAGAGAAATGCAAAACGACATTCTATAAATACTTGATCTATCATCATTCTGTGTTCCCCAGTCCCCCACCCACAAGCCGCCCTTGGCAGACTGAAAACAGATGAAAAATAAAACAAAATAAATAATGTAAGCTGTTGACGCCACCGGGGCGACCATTCAGGCTGCAGTGTCCTGGAGACCCGGTGGCAAGGAGGGGATCCCAGGGCAGAGTGCAGGGCATCGGAGCCAGGAGTAGCACAAATCCGCTTTAACAGGCCGCCAACTGACTGCTTGACTTCTCGGCTCCATTCCGTCCCGACCAGGCCAAAACCAGGCCAGGACCACCACCGGCAGCAGCAGCAACAGCAGCAGGACG